GATAGAAAAGATACTTGGAGCTAGGGTCATGCGAGATAGAAAGAACCGGACCCTATATCTTGACCAAGAACAATACATTCAAAACGTGTTGGAAAAGTTTGGATTCAGAAAAGGTGCTCACAAGCCAAAAACAGTGCCACTCACTGGATATGAACACTTACGGCCCGCCACAAGTGATGACAAAAGAATCGACGTTACAGAATACCAGCAAGCAATTGGATGCCTTATGTATGCCACAACCGTCACGAGGCCGGATATTGCTTTTGCAGTTGGAAAACTCAGTCAATTCATGAGTGATCCCGCAGAACATCATGGATATGCACTCAAAACAGTTTTCCGATACTTGAAGTCGACAATAAAATTTCGGATCCGTTACGGTCTCGGAGGAAAATACAGTAGCTTTAAGGTCTATTCGGATGCCGACTGGGCAAGTGATAAAAATGACCGTAAAAGTACCTCAGGAAGCGTCACCATGTTCTATGGTGGTCCAATATCTTGGTCCAGTAAAAAGCAGCGCTCGGTATCAACATCAAGCTGTGAAGCTGAGTATATTGCTCAATCAATGTGTGCAAAACATGGACAATGGATTGCTCAAATATTTCGAGACCTCGGACTACCAAAGTATATTGGGAAAAACCCTGCACTAGTCCAAATGCTCGGAGACAACCAAGGATCAATTGCGCTAATTGAAAACGCATATCTGAACGAAAGGTCAAAACATATCGATATTTGCTATCACTTTATTCGTGATCTCGCCGGAAAGGGGAGGTTGGCAGTTGATTACATTCCTACTGATGATATGGTAGCAGACGGCATGACCAAACCGTTGGCAAGAGTGAAGTTCCAGAAATTCATTGAACAGCTTGGTATTAACTGTACACAAGTCCCCGTGATAGTATCTACTAAACAACAATTGATAGGAGACTAGAGTCAGGACAACCTTTGAGGGGGAGTGTTAAATGACAAGGTGTGTCTAGCTGCTACAGGGGCAATCCGAGTCAGGCAGAGTCAAACACATGAGTCGCGTCAATTACGCTATTCATGCAGATCAGTCGCGTGGAGGAAAATTTGTACTTAGGAGTCTGGCTGTCTCGATCTTAGTATACTTTTAGTTAACTCGAATATCTGATTCTATCTGACCTCAATCCACTGTGCTAATTCCATCGTCTTCTATACAGTCATACTGCGACAGAAGTCCTCCCAAATTTAATAAATAGTCTTAAATTACAGCTCGATGTGGTCTGTGCAGTAGGTGCCTGGATATATGAAGGGCACCTACTTTAGATCCACAGGATGTCGAAGGTAAGCAAGACTGATATAGCTGGGTTGTTTCTAGCTATCCAGAAGTAATCTTGGTGCGGCTCGAGCATCTTTGTCTACCTCAATGTTCCCCACTATGTTTGAGTGTCCTGGGAACCATCTGATTTCTGCATTGGATCTTTGCACAACATCATGAAAGATGCAAATTAAGCAGCAAGTAGAGGACGAATTTTTAGTCTGCAGTGCTCTAGCAGCTGCTTGGTTGTCAAGTAGTGCGGTTATCTTTTCCTCCCCTTGTGACTTCTGGTTGATCAGTTTATGATCACAATTATTTCACGCAGGTGTCTTGTAGCTCTGACTAATCAACAATATAACGTGAGTAAAGCTTGAGATTAATAATACGTGAATTGATTCCATAATTCAGGATTGCCAATTTATTTAAATATCACCCTGCAACACGTGAGCCAATCAACAGCGCACAATGTGCACGGTCGGGTTTCTATCAATTGGAATCCACACCCTTGTCTTGCAATGAAAGCAGCTTGCAGCGGGCCTATTGCCCTGACAATCTGGGTGTCACAAGTTTTATTGAAAGGCTATGCTGAGCTGGAATGACATACTGTCAGGATTTCCTTCTGTATAATCTATATATGTGGAGATAACCGGTCTCTAGTGTTCTATGATTCTGGTCTGGCCTTTTGGCCGAGCAGTTTTTCACCTATCTCATGCATAATGTAGGATGGCGCCATTTAGCCTGAATACCATCTCTTGAACCATGTCTCCGCCTGCTGTCCACATGCTGCTCTGACACATACTGTTAGGATCAAGGTATGGAAGGAAGTAGCTATGGCTTTAAGAGAAGTAAAGTTCGTGAGTTATACTCTAAGGACTTGGATCAATGGACGAGCTTGAGGATATTCCCTAATATTCTCAAGTGTGTAAATAATATGGAGATTGTTTGAATCTCCTATTTAATGAATTGCTTAATTTATCTACGTGACAGGACCTTCTATATATGAATAAGGGGGTTCTGCACACTAGTGGATGTTCAAACATCTGTCCTTGTCTAACCGAGAAAGGAAGGATGTGAGAGATCCTAGTTCCAATAGATACCGTTAGGAATCTATTGGAAAATACTATGTCATACCAATGAGTGATAATTTAGGTCAATCATATCCCATGGCGCATGTGCACATTATTCTAATGTGAACAGTTTATTGTAATGCAGTCATGTTACTCCCTTAATTACAACAAGTTTCGCATCTGTGAAGCAGCCTCCGTTCCTTCTTGAAGATAATTTCTCCTCTTTGGAGCACATATCCCCATGCTGATCAACCGTGACCTTCTGAGGACCAGTCTGAATAAGCACAAATCTCAGATGGAGGGACTGTCCTCATCCATTTTTGATAATCCTCCTCTCCTTCCAACTTTGATCCAGGATTTCTGTAATATGCTGGCCTAGGAAGTGATTCGGCATCCTCTGCTTGAGATAGTTGGCAGTAGGCCTGGTAGATGCAGGACATCTGGGTATTGGGTTGCAAAGATAGCATTTTCCTCCTCTTGTATTTAATTGTTCCCTCATTTGGGCACATCCTTGCACAAATACGTAGGGTACTAGGATCATCGAGGGATTGCAACCTTGCAGAAAGTCTTAGTTGGTTGCATTCTAAGAGGATCCGGGCTGGTGGAATGCCTCCCCAATGAAGTGCAGCAAATCCACTTAGTATCAGAGCGCTATTTAAACTAATTACTGCAGCTAAGCGAAGGACATGATTCATCTGTTTATGCTAGATAATTGGGAGGCTGGTCAATGTATGAGTTGCCATAATTGTGGCTAGTAATATTCGAACGTTATTATGTTCCGCATTAATGTGCCTCTTTATTGCCAAGTAGCGCCAATTTCAAAAGTAACAAGGTAGAATATGATTCTTTCAGACAATTGATATAGGACAACTGGAAGCAGATTTGATAAAGTATTAGGTAAACAATGCTGAACGTGTAATACAACTGCTCCCAGCACTCTCTCCTAGTGCTACGACCTAACTCTCACTATACACTAATATGGAACTATTAATACAGGGTATGTAAGATCTCCAAATTCCTTACCCATTATGATCTTAAGTAATCAATAATCACAACCACAACTCCATTATGTTCAGTTGCAAGAATAATTATGTTTGACCAACAGTTATTTAATTTGACAATTAGGTAGAAGTAAAATCTAAAACAGACATATTTATTATCCATTCAGACAGCGCTAAATCATAACCAAATGCTGGACCAAGAAGGCTTGAATCGTAGCTTGGAAGGAGTATTGGAAAACACAATCCCTTCAGACTAACAAACATATTCGGATCAATATTTGAGAAAAGTGACCAGAAGAGCTGTTCCTACCCAGGCTCCTCATTGCCTATATTCTTGCTGCACACTCAGGACATGGTGACTTTGCCGACTGCCATGAAAGTTTTAGCCATGCAAACATAATTATTTACTGCAATTGCAGTGAACACAGGACTACCAGCTACACTTTACAATGCTGACTGCTAATTTTGAGACTTCCTAAAGCACCCAGAGTCTACTAATATGCAAGCACCACTTTCTCAGGCTCGGCAAAATCATCAAATGGCTACAGAAATCACAAATTTCACAGAAATCTACCCAAAATTTCCACTCATGGGTGCGGAATGATCTAGTTAAACTGTCTGAACTAACCCATACAAATTTTAAGAAAGTTTAGTCAGCGCTCCTGTAAATACGAGGTATGTAATGACGGGCATAAAGAATTGCCATAAAAAATGGTGGTAATCAACGTAGTAATATCAGATTTCTCCCAAGAAAGAATATTGAGAGGCTGCTCAAAGGCTTGATGAGCTCCTTAGTTTACTTTTGACCTCACTTTTTGTTTGAGAAGGAGCCGCCCTCAGCAAACCAGAGCAGTAAATCATGTACCCAGTCTGGTGTATCTGGCGAGACTTGGGCCCCAGCCAACTTCAACTAGACGTTTAAAATATTAGAGAACAAATATTGATCCACTCTACAGCCTCAATGACTGAAGGATGGATATTCCCTTGATAAAGTCAATGCTAATATATCATCAAGCAATCTCGTGAATATATCTTTGTCAATAGTAACGGAGAATATAATGAGTTAATGTGTGAGATGATCAACTAGTACAGTTGCAGAAGTTTAAGAAGTTTGAAAGTCTATAAAATTGACAGTGGTATAATCATTTAAATCTAGTAAAATTGGATAAGCTATATCTGAATAATATATTCATGCTTCTACATAGGGAAAAAGGGTCTACAAACTTATTTGAAACTGCACAATGTCGAACGGTTTATAAATTCGGGCCTATTGAATTTAGTGATGAGAAGCATTGGGTATGGGGATGACGTATCTTCTCCTTGTAATTGTATTGAGCTTTACTTTTTCACCCAGGACATGGAGCTCGGGATGATCAAAGCTCCAACTTGACATAATTTGATCTCCAAAACCTGTTATTCTGGGAATCGAGGCGAAGATCATCTCTCCTGGAAATGGTTTGAGTTGGATACAAGCATCAAGGCCAGAAAAGAGTGGAGCTCTCATTGTTATACTTTTCCATTTTTCAACAGACCCTGAGCCCTTCTAGTTGTAGATCCAGTACGGACTTTGATGCTATTTGATTCAGTGGACTTTCTGTGTCTAACATATCATTCGAGCTACCCAGTTATGCTAGAAATATAAGAGCCTGATATCATTCATCTAGTCAAATATCTAACAATATTGTTAGCCATATCAATACATATCAAGAGAATGTGTTGGGGAACAATCACTTGCATGAAATCACAAGGTTCTAAGATATCGATGTCATTTTCAACAAGAGTGCGCCTCATTAAGCCCGCTATTTGATTTTCTAAGTTGAATATAACAAAATAATGTGGAGGTGGGCCCTCTAGATATTTGTAGTCATTGGTTAGTATGAAAATACTTGTAAAGCAACTAAATATCATCGATTCTGCTATTACCTGCCACAGGATTATACCATAGTTCTCCGGGAATGTCGTACTCAAGATGACTATATTGTTGAGGATATTGATCGTCTTCTGTGTTGATATTCATAAAGTGTCTGGCTTCCAGAATTACTTGCATGAGTTCAAATTTTGTGAATCTTTTCCCATCTGGGCACTGAAAAATGAATTCTCGGTTCGGGTCAGGCGCTGCTAATAGATTTGGTAATAGAGCTCGCACTGGCGCTATTACAAAAGCTTTCAATGGCGCTAAGATGCAGAAGAGCGTGGAAGCGCCGCTGATGATGGAAAACTTCATTGTAGAATGTTCAGTACTTGTATTCCTTGCGAATTTAAGGGCTATAAAAAGCTGAAGTTTGAAGATTGAAGATTGATAAAAATGAAGTACAGAATAAAAATAGCTGGTTGGTGATTTCAGGATGCAGTTAATATACACTCTTTTTTGGCCAGAGTGTGGCTTGGCAAGCTCAATCAACCATGTTTGAAATATGAGAGTTACGAGGCATTTGAAATGCTAATTTAACCCATGTTAACTACTTCTTATTACACCTTTCTGTGAACTGAAATTGCAAAGTCCCACTCGCTGTTGATAGTGAATGATTGTGCGGAAAATAGGCTTTGTGGCGACTCATCGAGATGTAGGGGAATAGGATTGATCTCATTACTGGCATTCATTTGCCTGACACATTCTAAGAGAGGATTCGGAAACTTAGAAGCAGGTTGAGTTGGAAATATTGCGCAATGTAATGGGCGCAATATTCATGGAACGGAAGTAGAAGTTGACTAAAAGAGTTTCATGTTCGGATTACAGCTAAAAGTGTGGGAAGTGTGCGCTACAAGTATAAGTGTAAGCAACACAGAGCCCAAGCCACAGCATAAACGAGTGTGGCCCCATCTAGGCATAGAAAAACCCCCAATAACCTCCTTGTGCCCATACCATGCAGCCGCTCATATCTCCAATAGTTAGCCTGAAGCGCTACCATATTACCTATTTCAACCTCTTGAATACACACGAAATCGTGTCGGCAACCTCGACGAAATGGAGGGCCCATACGTCCACAATACTCCGTGTCTCCATTTCCAACAGGCTGCACTCTAACCCCTCGACCTCCCATTGTTATGAATGCAAGGTTATGGGAGGTGGAATAGTTACCGGTAAATAACTGCACGTTCACTGAGGCTTGAAGGTAGAGGTAGATTGTAATGAATTAGTAGACTTGCTTACTTTCATTCAAGTTTAGAGAATCACTAATTTTACATACATATACCACATTCTATGGCTTTCCATATCCCCAGTCGCTGAGTTCCATTCAGCTCTGAGTCATCACATTCTATTCCATCCTGTTCTATTCTATCCGACTCTGGTCTGTTCTGTTTTAACCATTAGATTCTACATCTCTATGATCCACAATAACCAGATGCAGGGGTGGTTATGTCATCAATCACAACACCAATCCATCGGCACAAATAATGAAGTTTGAAATTACTGTATAGATCTACTCTCAATATAAGTGACAAATCTCTTACTCAAATATCAGAAGGAATTTAGATAAATAACAGACATTATGGCGCACTTAAAATCTGTCCATGGCCATGTTCACACACGGTATCTTAGAAATGGAGTCACAGGGTGTTTTGGATGTGTTGGCTCTCCAATCTGTCTTGGTTTCCAACGCGATCTCGTGTGTGGTAAAGGGATTGGAATGAGTAATAGGTAGCCTGAAGTGCTAGCTTAGACAGATATCCTACTCGAGACAGACGTCTACTTGTTCGAATCCAGTAAGACCCACACACCATTCTCTCGCGCTGATATTGTACTTGTGAGATGATGAAAGCACACTCGGATAGCCACAGATTTTTCACGGTTTTCCCTGCGGTGGGTATGCACGGAAGAGGTTGTACGGCGTAAGGGTTAACATCGAGTAGTATCTGCAAATCAAATCTGACTGTGAGTGTTCTAAATTTCAAATCGAGTCATCCCACTTAAAATATCTCCCGATGAAACCAGCATGGGCCTCAAGGCGCCAAATCAGGATGGATAAGCTATTAATTTATTTATCATCGGTGAGAGTTCACATTTGATGCCTACTGACACTCATTGGCCACAGTGATACGCACTCAATATCCATCGTGCCATCTCTGTGACTCACCAGTGCACATGAGCTCGTGCCACTCCACCAACAGGCAGCAGAGTCATAATTGCCATACACCATACACCTCACAGCTCCTAACCACAACAGTCATCCAATATGTATAAATAGCACCGGTCATGTTACATAGCCACATAGATGCATACACATTAAATGGCTTTAAAAAACATACACATGATGTTACGGGCTAGGCCTAGCTGGGTTCTAGCTAGGTTGTGTTTGACTACAGGGCCCATCCTTGTTTCATAGGCGTAGGCCAGTAGGTAAATCTTCGTAGGGTACTGAAGTACTAGCAGAGCACATGTAAATCCAAGGAATCTAGAATAGCTTTAGTAGTCATGAAGCGCTGTAGCTGGCCGCTCCTGAATGGAATAGAAACTATAAACATTTTATCGTGGAATTGCTCCGTGCACTCGAGATTCTTAGCCAGCAAAATAGTGTCGGGGTCACAGATGATCAAATATATCAATGAAACGTTATATGAATGTGACTGTCTCAAGGACGAGGTTAAGACAGTGTTCCACAGGGTGCGTATATGGTCTAGTGAAGATCTAGGTGGTAGATAGAGGTGAAGAATGGGTCGAAGGGGTGACTGGTCTTCTTGTCATAGGACACTAATCACGTGCTACAATGTACGCTTGGACCAGTGAGGAACCACTTTTATGTGTATATAGTATTGCGTTAGCCACCATGTCTTTCTCTCCTCATAGATTACAATCATATTATTGTTTTGCCTTTTAGTCAGAGTCTTTCCTGACCCTCATGCTATCACATTGATTGTAATCTCCATTTTAGTCTAAACCACTTGTAATCAGCGACGTCTCGCAATTATATGAGTAGTGACGACAATTTTAACCTTGAAGGTATTCTCCGTGAAATTTCTGCGATAGAAATCGACGCCTCAAGTGCAAATACAGAGTCTCACAGACCTGCCCTGGAACTAGAGCCACAGACGCCTGAATCAAAAATCGCAACAACTAAACACGAAACCAGAAATATTAAAGCCACAATGACAAACCAAACCGACGCAGTACAGCACAAGTTCACAACTTGGGATGGAACACCTGATCAATATTCTTTATGCTCAGTCATGTGGCGAGTAGCAGCGGAGGACCCAGCAATCATCAAGGGTTTTGGTGGTGAAAGAGGCGTCTGCCTTGCACTTATGCAGACGTTACCAGCGGAGCACAGAAGCCGAGTGGGGCCTTTCTTTGAGAAACAAGTTAAAGCTAAAGAATTTTACTCAAGTTCACTTCTCGACGAATTCGACCGGCACTTCGTTGATAGGGACCGTGAAGCTCGAAATCGACGCCTCCTTTACTCTGTGAGACAAGGAAACGCGCAACCTTTCGCAAAGTTCCTTCACACTTTCGAAGGTTATCTCAGCAATTCAGGTGAACTTGCTCCTATTGGAGTTTCTCGAATCCACACCCTATCTGAGGCCATTGCTCCGTATCTACGCCGGGCTGCAGCAAACCAGACAGATCTAGAAAAGCTGAACTATGAAAAATACGTCGAACAACTATCGACTTTAGCAACTAATTGGGAATCCTTGCCAGAATTTCAGGCTAAGAGTGTAGATGACACTGGAGAAACCTACACCGAAAATGCGATCGGAGACCTTCCTCTAAACATTCAAGAGCAACTACGGAAGCAAATAGTCAACCAAACAGAAACACAATTACAATCACAATCACCAAAACCCAGCGTAAACTCTCCAATACGTGACCGTGAGGGAGATATAAAAATGTCAGGGACTGACATTATTTCTATTGTTTCTACAGTTATATCAGCTATAAATAATGGAAACAATTCCAAAGGGTTTGGACAGGCTCGGCCACTAGATAAACGTCCAAATGCCCCTCATTGTTCCGAGGAAGAACGCCATCAGCGTCTCAAATCAGGTCGATGTATTCGATGCAATGTATTTCCATCGCACCGTTTTAGAGAATGCAAGTTTAAAGGTTTTCGCTCAGAAATGTCCAATCTAAGGATAGCTTCTGCATCAATAAGCGAGTCGGAAAACTAGCAGCCCCTGTACGAAGTCGTGTTCAGGGGAATGTTGGTGTGTTTGGAGAACTACTAGATCAAATACCACCTGCTAGCGAAATTAGGGAGGCTGTTGAAAGGTTGAATAGTAGTCCATTTTTAATTGATATTTTAATAAATTCTACTTGTTATTCCACCGCACTCTTTGACACAGGATGCCTACCCTACGCAGTTTTTGATCGTAGTTTTGCAGACCAGGCACACTTACCACGCCTTCCAGTCACCCACAGATCTCTAAAGCTCGCCAAAGATGGACCTCAAATTCCCATTACCGAAATGACTTGGGCTACACTTGACATTGACGGTAGAGCTGAAAGAGTATTTGGCTACATAGTAGCAAACTTACAATATAATATAATCCTCGGCAAAGGTTGGGCCGAGCGTAACAATGTAACATATGAAGCAGGTAAGAAGTTTCTCACTCTAGGAAGTGGTGCAAACGCAATAAAAGTCAAGGAGTCTGGATGGATGGAACGGGATGAGTTATCAGGCTCTATGCACCAACTACGTCAAGCAAAAAACGTTACAGCTTCAATATTTGCCGCGGAAATCCGTCGTGGAAGAAAAGCAAATAAACATCTACATTTATTCTCCATCACTATAGCAGATATCAACAAGGCCTTGAAAAAATTAGATAACTCAGCGGTCAAGCAAACGGTGGAAGAAATATCAAATCAACTACCTCAGCAGCTTCGACATTTAGCAAAGAACTTTCTAGCTGATGAAGATGGAATCCTCCCAGAATCTAAGCCAGGATGGGACCATTCTATAAACCTTGATCTAGACGATGAAGGCAAACCTAAGGAACCCCCCTCAGGTCCACTTTATGGCATGTCACGAGATGAGCTCCTCGTTCTCCGTAAAACTCTTACAGATTACTTACGTAAAGGATGGATTCGCGCCAGCAATTCTCCTGCAAATGCACCGGTACTATTCGCAAAAAAACCGGGCGGAGGTCTTCGATTCTGTGTTGATTATCGTGGCCTCAATTCGATAACAAAAAGGGACAGATACCCGTTGCCGCTCATCAAAGAAACACTTCAGCAACTCTCCAAAGCCCAATACTTCACAAAACTTGACGTCTGTACTGCATTCCATC